GAATGGTTTGATCCCTATTCAGCTGAATTCCTGAGACCAGACGAAATCCAGGTCTCCTACTCCTCCGCCATCTTGCTCCGCCCCCCTCTTGCTTAGAGTTTTTGAAAATTAGGAATGGTTGCTAAATTTCATCAAGTAACTTTTCAGAGTCTATTGATATGAACAAACTTTTTCTCCTTCCCCAGACTGACTCTGGACTTCATTATCACCACCTTAAATACCGAGGGCTGCTGCCAGTGCGTAACAAAAATAAATTCCTCATGCGGGCCTGATTGCCTCACCTGAGCCATTTTGACTTAGACAATCTAGGCTACTCACCATTTCTCAAACTAGACTTTTCTCCCGAGTGTAGTGTCTTTGCTCATGCTGTTCTTTTATTAGGAATGGCCCCTGCCTGTCACACTTCTGTCCCTCCTCCGATCTGCCCTCCGAGTCATGTCACAGTTGTTGGTTTACCACAGTTGACCATATAACAATCAATATTTCCTTTCTTGTATAACTTTATGCTTTTCTTGGAACAATAAGTACCTCGTTTTTCTGTTCCTTCATTTTCTATCTATCAGTAATTAAGCATCACACTTTGTACCAGAACAACAAATTACTCTCAAGACGATCGGATACATAAGGTCATCACAAAATGCTATTTCTTTCTTAGAGCATCTCCTCCTTGGGTGCTCCATCCCCCTGCCTCAGTTCACCTGGCTGGTCTGGGGCTTCCCACGGGTTCTGTTCCGGTTAGGTGGCATAAGCTCAGCCTCCAGAAAAACCTGGCAAGGGAAGGAAAGATGGAGGTCTCAGTGCTCAGAATTCAAACTTGATGGGATGCTCTTCCGTTCACCCTGTGCGTGGTGACCTGTGTCCAGAGCCCCTCCAGTGGGCAAGCATCGCCTGTGTCTTGCTCCTCCCCCTTCTGCACGCTTGACAGTGTCTCCCTCTGCTCTCCCTCATTACTTAGCACAGATGTATGCTTTCTATCTTCCAAGTTTATTGACATCTCTGGGTGCTGCCTTTTCAAACTTCTTGATGTCATTTTCGTGGGATTTGGGAAGTGGAAGAGAGGAGATTAGGACTCTTAATTGGCTGTTTCCTGCCCTCAGACTCGCCGCATATGTGAACGCTCAGTACCAGCCTCTGGCCTTCATCCGCACGCATCCCTGGGCCGGGCACACTGCTCTCCCCACTGGGCCGTAGGTAGGCAGGCTGGTTACTCTTGAGTAACCTCTGAGTGGTCTCTGAGTCCTGCACAGCCACCACGTGGGGGTCCAGTAAACGCACAAATAAAGAGAAGGTTTGCCAGCGATCGAAAGGATGATCCATCAGACTCTAGGTACTTGAATCCAATCCTGCTGTAATGTGAAGATTGACTGAAATGAACCCATGGATTGAATATGTCTCCATTAAGGTTTCGTTACTAAAGCAGAAATTGTCATTTTTGTGGTGAAGACAGTTGAACTTTCACAATAACCATGGCCAGTAGTCAGAACGTGCTGCTTATTGGTGGAGAGGCTCAGCCCTCCGCTTGTGTTTCTCTGGAGAACTGGACACCTTGACTGGCCCCCTTGGTGGCTCTCTGTGGGGAACCCTGGCCCTGGCCGGTCTCGTCCGAGCCTCAGCAGCCACCTGTTTCCTGTGCTGAGATTGGACAGTCATTGCAGGGCCTCTCACTGGCCTGGTCGCTGCAGCCGAGGCACGCACCTGGAGTAGCTAGTCACTCACTTGTACTCGACGTCTTGTTCTGAATATTTCTTCAAAAGCAATGTTTCTTTAAATATGTAAGAATGTTAATATAGTATGAATGTATGCACTCATTTAATTATTGACATGTAACTGAATTTTTAGAATAAATATATTTTCATTTTTATTTTAAAACCTTTAGAAAGTATTTTCATCTGCAAAACTTGACTTACAGCCACTTTATCAGAGGTATCTGCATTCCTGAAATAAACACTCCTGGGGTCAAACCAGGACTGTGGATATTCCATTGGTGTTTGTGTGCAGTCGCTGCACAGGACTCGGTGGCTTATGAGAGCAGACCCGCTGTTCGTTCATTCTTCTCTAGGCTAGCACATTGCTCCTCCAATATTGAAGTTTAAATGAAATATAGCACTTTAGAGGTCACAAAATATAGTAGCAATATCTTGGACTTGTGGTAAAAAGCCCTGGGTTCAAGTGTGGATTCAGTCACGGTTTGTGTGATGTTGAGAGGTCACTGCCTTTCATCTGGGATGACGGACGCATGTTTGTACGCCTTGCACAGGGTGGGGTGGTTGCTGAGGCCCAGAAAGAGATCTGGAAAATGGTTTAAGCTATAACATTATACAAATTAAGTTATCTGATAACTGCATGAGGGTAACTTAAGATTTCATCACTTAGATGCCGTCTTAACTGTTAAAATCAAGCCAACTTATCAAATATTTAAATTTGCAAATTACCTTTGAAGTCAGATGCCCTAAAAGCACAAGTAGACATTCATCCTGGGGACCCTAAGCTTCCAGGACTTACACAAATCCCCAGTAGGACCCATGTGATCACGCTGGGGGATGCATATCAGCAGTAGAAGACTAACTGACCTTTCTATGAAAATTCGGCAGTGCACAGTACACATTGGAATAGTCAAGTACTTTCCACCACACATCTGGTTATTTCTCCAAACCTGATTAAAATGAACACACAAGCTAAGAATATTCTCAATAATATTGTTGGTGCAAACTTGTTTCACAAAAATGTAATTTGCAAGATAATTATCTAAGTAATGGGCTATCTACTTGCAAAGCTTTTATTTATTTATTTATTTTTAAGATTTTATTTATTTATTTGACAGAGAGAGACACAGCGAGAGAGGGAACACAAGCAGGGGGAGTGGGAGAGGGAGAAGCAGGCTTCCCGCGGAGCAGGGAGCCCGATGCGGGCTCGATCCCAGGACCTGGGACCATGACCTGAGCTGAAGGCAGACATCCAACGACTAAGCCCCGCAGGGGCCCCTACTTGCAGAACTTTTAAACAGATATGCTCCTACCAACCTGGGCATCCCCACAAGCAGCAACACCTATGCTTCCCTCGTGCTGCGTTAGTCCTTCTTACACTTTCTCTCTCCCTCCAGCCTGCAGTGGTGTCTGGGACAACATTACGTGTTGGCGCCCTGCGGACATAGGCGAGACCGTCACAGTGCCCTGTCCTAAAGTATTCAGCAATTTTTACAGCAAACCAGGTACTGTCTGTCAGCATTGTCTAAGCTCCTGCAGAGGCTGTGGGTTGGATTCCCCATCAAGGCCGCAAGATGCAGCTCACTGGCTTCCTTTACGAAGGGAGTCAGGGAACAGCTGTGCCCTTTGTGTGTGCTGAGTGGTTTTAGGAGCAGGAGAATGAGAGGTCTCTTGCCAGGTCAGCCACCTGAAACGAAACACTGGGGAGAGCAGGCCTCAGACAAGCGTGGACGCATGAGCCTGATACATGACAGGTGGGGCCTGAGCACCAAAATGAGGGGAGGTGGCAATGCCCACGAGGGGCAGCGGGCTTTAGGCACCGAGAACGTAAATGTGGTTCCAGGCTTCCTTGCCGTGTGTGGCTGCCCATGAGTCCTCAGCATTCCCCAGAGGTTCTGAAGAGCCCCGATGCTCAGGGACAGCGGCCAGTCTCTCCTGGAGTCCAGATGCAGTTTCTCATCCACGGGAAACATCTTGCTCGTTGGACTGACCCTCCTCAGCTCCCAGCCCCCACTTTCTGAACTAGCTCCATGTGGCCTGAAGACCCACCGCCTCTGTTTCCAGGGTCGGAAGGGGCTGGCCGGGCGGGGGTGCCACCAGCCCTATGGCTGGCTCTCTGCACAACGCTGCAACGTCTCTTGGCTTGTTCCCAAGAAGGTGGTTCTGTTGTGTTTTGTTTTGTTTTGTTGTAAATGATCCAGATTTTCATAATATGAAGAAATCTATCTGGAAAAATAGAAAAGAGAAGATACATCTGGAAATCAAAAAGGCGTGATACTTTGGAGTACTAGAGAACTTATTTTCATCTTGAGCAAACATTACAGGGTAAAAACTCTGAGAACTAGAATTGTTGAAGTACTTTAAGCAGAATGTTGTGGCACAGATTGGGATGGAGAAAAAAAGGAGATTCAAAAGAAAAAGGTTTTGTTCATCCCTGCGACTTGCAAGGGGAGATGTTTTCCTTCGTGATTTAGTCAGTGAAGCAGTCTGAGCAGACTGAAGTCATGCTCAGTCATTGGTCATCTTCAGCTCAGAAAAACTAAATCATTTTAGAGAATCTGAACTTTAAAAAATATCCTGTCCCATCAATAAAATTTCTACAAAAAATGATTTGGGCTATAATAGTCTCCCAGAAATCCCAAATGAGCTAGCATAGACCTACGCTTCCCCTAATCAGATGGCTTGGCTCTGAATCCTTCTGGGGGCAGCAGGGGGTTTCACACTGACAAACAAAAGATCTCTGGTTCCTGGGCCATCTGCCAGAGCACCAAACCTCTGCCAGACAGGAGCCATCTGGGGCACACAGTGCCCAGGTCAGCTTAGAATCTGGCTCTGCTTGGAATCACTGTGCATCCTCTCCTTTGGGGAATGAGGATTCCCAGCCTGTCTTGGGTTAAATGTTTGACGCTCTTTTTTGTCCAAGCAGGGAGCATGACACTGCCTTGTTATTGTGGGGAGCATCTCTACCACTAGAAAATTTGCTGGAGTTTCCCTAAGTCTGTGTATCACAGCTAGATGACCTGAAATGTATATGCATCTACTTGTTTAACTGGTCACAAAAATGTGAACCAGGAGATACTTACACAGACTGTTGACAAATTGCTGTCCACATGGAATGCTTGGAGTGTTTGTGCAATTACTTAGAGAAACGTGAACATAATGCAGAGCTGGGGGCTGAGTAGGGCTGGGGCTGGGGCCAACGGGCATCAGATGACAATGGGCTGAGGCTGGGCTGTCTATCTCTGAGGTAGAGATAAAAGGGTGGTCTTGAAATACAATTAAGAACCAGTAGGGCTTGAATCTGCGTGGTATGTTCCAGTTTACAGGAAGCTTTTACAAATGTGGTAGTTGCTCCTCACAGTGACCCGTGGGGAGCGCCCGGTCATAGAGTGACTTGTGATCATTTCAGCCCACAGACCCAATGTTCAAGAAATAAATCTGTGTTTTTATAAAAAGTTGTTTTCTGAGTTCTCATACCTCCAGGAGGTGGGAAGCTGGGGGGCTCTCCTGATGGCCATGCATGGTGTCTTGGCAGCCAACACCTTGTCTCTGCTATCTTCATGCTGGGGAGGCTCCTCTGAGCTGTGCTAGGGTATGGGGTTCAAGTCGACTCCCACAGGCAGACAGGGACTCTGCCTCCAGTGTGACAGAAAAGAGACAGCAACAAGTCATCAAGTGAAGGAGCGGGGGCAGGCTGGGAGAGGAGGGAGGTTTGTTCTGAAGCGCTGAAAGCTCAGGGTGCTGCGGGTGCCTTCAAGTGTAGCAGAGGGGGTGGATGTGCCCTGCGTCGGGGACAAAATGGCCCAGAGCACATGCCCCGTAGCCAGGCAGCCGGGCTCTGAGTTCTGGCCATGCCGACTTGTCCTAGGAGGACATGAGCAAGTCCCGAAATGAGCTGGGCAGTGGGGTCAGACCCTCCACAGAGGGCTGTGGAGCTTGCCTAACACAAAGCCTGCCACACGGAGCTCACGAGGATGGGTTGTCTGGAGAACAGGGACCTCCACGCCCCGATAGGCACAGTGCTCCGTGCCGTGCAGGCACACCCACCTTTCCTGCCTCCATGGACAGCCAAGCACCCTCCTAACAATCACACCCAGACTTACACTCAGTGAGCGAAGGACTGGGAGCCTGTAATCAGCCTTGGGGAGCAGGGGAGAGAGGCACCTGTCACCGCTCTGGTGAGGGCCCCCGGCACTGCGGCTGAACTGAGGGCCACAGCAGAGAGAGTTCAAGAAGATTGGGGGGTCCCCAAAAAGTGGTGAGGGTTCCCATAGAGCAGATGGTCCCACAGATGGAGGAGGTCCCCACAAAGTCAGGCTGGAGAGGCCCACTCACAGAGGAGAGAGAAGAGAATCCAGGCTCCTGAGTCCTACAGCTGTGACCTCCCCATCCTTTCTTCCCTGGTCCGATTTTCACCTCCCAGGTCCCCCCTCACCTAATCCCCTCTCTCACCTCCCTGGGCCCTCTCTCACCTCCCCACCCCACCCCGCTTCCCTGGGTCCTGTCTCACCTTCCTGGCTCCCCGTCACATCCCCAGCCCCCTCTCTCATGTCCCAAGCCCCTCTCTCACCTCCCCCAAGCCTTGCCCCTTTCAGAACTCTGTCTTGCCTCCACTGTTCATTGTGGTCCCCGCCCTCCAGGTGCCCCCAGGACCCCTGGGGTTAGAGCAGGAGGAGGTTTGGGGCCTGGAATCAGAAAAACGCAGGGGACGGCGGTGTTAGAGAGTGGCAGAGCAAGCCCACATGATGCTACCAGGGGCTCTGCTGAGGCCCCCTAACCCCGCTTTCTTGCCAGAAGCTCCGGATCTGGGCCCTCCCACCTGCTTCCACGCAGCATGCCAAGAATCGCTTATGCATATTATCACCTCAACGTGAGTGTGCCTTGCTCTTGATTTTGTCTGATAAATCAATCACGTAGGCCACCCTCGTGTAGAAAACATAAAGGGTTTTTGAGTGAGAAAACCTATTTCCGCCACTCAGTCATCACAGAACCTTGCAGGTGTTACTGAACCTCAGTCTCATCGGTAAAATGATCAGTAATGCTCACCAAGTCTGCCTCACAGTGTTGGCCCAAAGCAAAAAGAGATGACGTGAGTGAAAATATCTGCTATTCTGAAAACTCCAGGGGCTGTGAGTCAGGGAGGAAGCTTGGTGGGTGATCAACTGCGGAGCCTCCCAGCGCCGAGGGCAGGAAGCGCCTTCCCAGGCCTGAGCTTCCCAAAGCCTGCCCTGCACGTCCCAGCCCTGTCACAGGTGACCAGTGCCTGCCCTCAGGTCCCTCATCACCACTCAGCACCTACTGCGGTCACCTACTGAGCACACTTTCTTTTTTTTTTAATTAATTTATTTATTAGAGAGAGAAAGAGAGTGTCAGGTGGGGCGAAGGAGCAGAGGGAGAGAATCTCAAGCAGACTGCCCTGAGCGCAGAGCCCTATGCGGGGCTCGATCCCATGACCCTGAGGTCATGATCTGAGCTGAAACCAAGAGTCGGAGGCTCACCCAACTGAGCCACCCAGGTGCCCTGACACTTTCTTTTAAATAGAGGGAACATTGCATTCCTGAGTTTAACATACACATTTACGTAATTTAGGGGCAAAAAAAAAAATGGTGGTATAAGATCAAAACTGCCTTTATTTCATGCAGTTTAAATCTTGTACCCACAGTCTGTTCGTCCAACGTCAGTGACCAGTGCTGCCTCCTGTGCACACCCAGGGCAGCCGAGTGAGGGAACTGGCACAGAACAGGATGGAATGGGAGAGCAGGCTCTGGAATGGGTGGGATTTGGCGATGACTCTCTCTCTCTCTCTCTCTCTCTCTCTCTCGACAGAACAGGAGTCTGCTAATTTTCATTGTGCTCCTTAATAATAACACCACCAGCCATTATAACCGTTACCACTGCACCCGTGCCTCATGACACAGAAGCCTTCCCTCGAGCCACCCAGGCCCGCAAAATCCAGCTTCCAGGGGGGATGAATGCACACACCGTGAGGTGGCTGAATGGGTTGCGACTCCGCTCCTTGCTGACCAGAGAGAGGAGCATCTAGGGCTGTGCGCCTGCGAGCCTGCCCGTCAGTACCGGGCCAGCTGCTGTGGACCTGCCGGCCTAACACCTACATTTTATCTTCCAGGAAACATAAGCAAAAACTGTACAAGTCATGGGTGGTCAGAGATGTTTCCAGATTTCATAGACGCCTGCGGCTATAATGATGCCGAGGACGAGAGCAAGGTAAGGGCCCCTGCGTGACTCCCGCACTTTCTAGTCCCTTTTCTGGAAGTGCACACGAAACGGTGTCTGTGTGCTGCCCGACAAGAATTATGTACATTTCCTTTCCTGCAAAGAGCAGTGCTGCTTCTTGATGGCCAAATTGGGCAAAGTCCCTATTTCAGTTCTGTGCCCGGCATTTGGTTCATTTCGTGGTTCTGTCATTTTGGAGGCAGGAAAGCCTGATTCTCTTTGCCTGCTTTCAGTTTGCCTGAACGGCCCTGCCTGCCTGAAATGAACTTTAATGAGCATCCATTCTGCCGACAGGTTTCTTTGGCCTATCTAGGACTTTGCCACAAAGCGGGCCCTCCAGAAGCCATGCAGCCGTGTTTTTAGCTGTGGGCCAGCAGCAGGAGACAGGACCAACAATGGAGCGTGTTTGCAAACTGAGAGACTGAGCGTGTCCCTGGCCAACAGTGCCCAGGGCGTGTTGGGGGCTCCGCCTATGGCAAGGGCTGCACTGTTGGTCCGCGTGCTGTAAGGAGGCCACGGAGGTGTGCTCAAGATGAGCCCTTCACTGGGAACGTGATTGTTTAAATGACGTGTCAAATCAAGTCCGCTCAGCTCTGCTCAGCCCCAGGGCTGGGGTGGCTGTTCTTTCCTGCATGTTCACCCTGCAACATTGTATGACTGTGGTTTTACTTTGTTTACCACCAGGAAACCAGGTCACCGTCCCCCCTTGGGCTGCGTTCCTTCACCCCCAATGCCATATTTTTTTTAAAAGATTTTATTTATTTATTTGAGAGAGAGACAGAGAGAGAGAGAGAGCACAAGAAGGGGTAGGATCAGAGGGAGAAGCAGACTTCCCGCTGAGCAGGGAGCCCGATGCGGGACTCGATCCAGGGACTCCAGGATCATGACCTGAGCCGAAGGCAGTCGCTTAACGACTGAGCCACACAGGCGCCCCTGCTAATGCCATATTAATGACAGGTGAATACCATGCGTTTCATGCCCCCATCCCCTGCAAACACCCGCTGTGTAGGAACATACTTGAGGCCCTTTTAAAGAGCCTTGGGGAATACCTAGCTACTCATGCACGTTGGTCTCACTTCCCTCCGACCCTGGGCCCTGCCACCCCACCATCAGTGAGACTGGTATGAATGTCACTGTCAGATCCATTTTCCTGGGGGATTAACGCATCTTTTGTGTTCCTTTTTTATAGAGGGACTGTCTTTGCTCTCCTCACTAAGATTTATGGTATAAAGCCAATTATTTTGCCACCAAATTATTAAACCCTAGAAAAGAAAGTACCTTACATTTTAGCGAGTTTCTCACTAATTGAAGGGCGTCTGGCCAACTGCCAGTGAGGACGATGGTGCTGGGTGGTGGGATCACTGGCATTGTCCAGTGCACACTAGGAACCACATCAATTACCAGTATCACCTCATGCGGTCTTCTTCTGTTGAGGTGTGACTGACATACAAACACTGTTTATATTTAAGGTACGGGCGTACCTCACAGGATCACACTTGGCGGATACTGTGCTTTACAAACTGAAGGTTAGGGCAATGCTGCACTGTGTGGGGGGGACATTTTTCCAACGATATTTGCTTACTTCGTCTCTCTGTGTCATGTTTTGCTAATTCTGACAATATTTCTAACATTTTGATGATTATGATATTTGTTAGGGTGATCTGTGATCAGTGATAGGACTCACTGAAAGCTCAGATGATGATTAACATTATTTAACAACAAAGCATTTTTTAACTAAGGTATGTACGTCATTTTCTTAGATATAATGCTACTGTACATTCAGAAACTACGGGATGGTGTATACATAACTCTTAGAAGCATTAGGAAACCAAACAATTCGCTTGACTCCCTTCATGGCCATATTTGTTTTTCTGCGGTGGTCCGGAACAGCCTGCATTATCTCCACGGCATATGCCTGTATGCGGCGTGACGTTCTGATGTGTGTATATACATATATTGTAAAATGATCCCCTCAGTCAAGCTAATTATCTATCACCTCACATATTTACCTTTTATTTATTTATTTATTTATTTATTTATTTATTTATTTATTTTGGTGAGACACAGACCTTATTCCTCTTATAACTGAAAGTTTGTACACTTTGACTAACATCCCCCACGTCCCTGACCCCTTGTCTGCTTTAGTCTTGGTGACAGCCCACCTTACAGAGGGAAACACTGAGGCTCGGGTGTGACATGACGTGGTCGGGGCCCCAGCTCTGTTTCTGTTGTGCAATCCCTGAGATTCAGCTTCTCTTGTCAGAAGTAGTCACCTTCCCCCTCGGCATGCAGTCACCTGAGCTGCAAGTGAAGCCTGGGATGGCGCCTGTGCTCTCTCCGGCCGGCCGGGAACCACTCGGGGACCTGTGCGCACCTGGTGTCCTCAGGGAGCCTGTGCTGCTGCGCTCCGTCCTACACGCCCCGCAGGACACCAGGGAGTCATTTGCGCCCTCAGCCAGGCTTGTGACCAGGGAGGCACGGGTGCAGAGCTGCGCCCAGGGCGTCAGGAAAAGGGCACACATTCAGAATCTGATGCCACAGAACATCCTCTCGGTTCCTCTGCCTTCTCTCCTACCTCTGGTCTTCCCTCCGCTCCAGATCAGCCTGCTGGTTTTGGAGTCTCACCACATCGGGCTTTGCACACTGGTCGGGGGCTGTCCTACACGGCAGAGCGAGACATCATGTCGTTCTTCTTGTACTCACTGGATTCTGCGAGAAGGCCCAGTGAGATGTCAGCCTCTCGTGAGTCGCCTGTTGGGCAGGAAACACGAGGTGGTAGAGAGCCCCGAACACCGGGACTGACGGCTCTGGCAGCCACTGAGCTGCTCCAGCTGGAAGACAGAGGGTTGGTGCCATGATTGTGTCTGCTGAGCCTCCGGGGTGTAGCCCAAAGTCGGTGACCTGTTCAGGTCGAATCTGAATTCAGAACACATCTTCATAGGAAGATAACATGTGCATTTCAGGTTCTAGACTAGTCCCAAACTGCTGTTTAGTTATTTAATAGGGCCAAACCAGGAGACCATCCTATTGGCTTGCTAAGAATAAGCCTTGAACTGATACAGAATTCACCCGAAGCCTCAGGACTGTCCTGGAGCAGGAAGCGTTCACAGGCCCTGTACTGCTGACCCTCCGTGCTGACCAGGAGTGGGGACTGCCCTTCCTCGCGATGACCAGGGCTCCAGGAGTGGCTTCAGGGCCCCCTGCCACATGACACCTCCCTCCCAGGTGACCCTAGTGGATGCCATCAGGCCGTTTCAGGGGCAAGAAGACAGGCCCCGGCAACCAGAGCAGTCTTGGACCTCTGGTTCCACCGTCCGCGGGTATCCCAGACACCTGTGTGGGGTGGAAGCAGAGTGTCCCCAGACCTCCCAGTAGCATTTGTCCAGAGCCAGCTGTGGGTCGCTATTCAAGGGTGGGCCCATCCCCATTCATTCATTCCACAGTCGCTTCTTGGGAATGCCGGTGTTGTGAGTCCGTCCTGTTACCACGAACCCAGTGTGGCCGTGGGCAGGTGCTGAGAGCTGACGTTCGAGGCGATGTTGGCTCCCTTGACAAGTCGAAGCCAGCAGCTCCTCTTCCTTACGTTTCCCCTGGGCCACACTGTAGCTGGCCTTCCCAGAAAAACGGATGGAAAACTCTTCCAGGCCCTCGGAAACGCGTGTGACTGAGCCCTGCCTTCGTGAAGCACAGTGTCTCTGCTTTTCTGACGCTTTTCCGTCCAGTGTGAAGAGTTATTTGTCTTCTTAATTAAACATTTCAGAGATTCTACAAATATCATGAATGCATATTCCCTGCTAATGGATTAGAAAGTCAAAATATTTTAACGTGTGGACGTGAAAAGAATGAAGGCACAAAGCCAAAGTGAGTAACTTTTCTTCCTGATTGCAGTTTCTGCCATTTACATACTTTGAATACTTGGTTGTTTAAGGGTTCCTGCGGAAGACAAGAACCACACGGTGTGGCGGACGGGCAGAGGGCCCGGAGGGTCCGCGGCCCCGGCTGGGCCTCCTCGGGCGGCTGAGGGGGGCACACCCCTGGCCGTGAGCCCAGTGAGCTCTGCTTCCGATGTCGCTCCTCATCTCATCAGCGGCTCACTACCCTCCCGGTTTTATGATTTTAATTGGATTTCCTGCTCTCACACAGCCAGACTCTGCCCTGGGTGTTGTGTGTGCAAACTTTGTTGGTTTCAGAATTAATTAAATTCAAGAAAAAAATTAGCCTCCACAAAAGCCACAGGCTTGGCTACATGTGGCAAGGGAATCGAAAGATAAAGTCAGGAATGGGGAGTCCCATGAAGGAAAACAGTGTCCGAAGACCCCAAGGGCCTCTCAGATAATGGTGGGAACCACTATGGTGAAGCTGCTTCACACTCTGGACCAAGGCAGCCCACAAGTCGCAGGGGGGGTTGGCGGTGGTCTGGGCCTTTATGCTCTGGGTCTCACAAGCCACAGTGAGATTATGAAGGTGGCCAGGCTTGGCTCAGACTCTCTCTGTCACCAGGTCCTGGTTTCTGTGTCCAGTCTTTCTTGTCTATGACCCTCTCCCACCAAAACCACCCTCGGGCATGTGCCTTGCCATAGGAGTATTTCCCTCTCGGGACTTTGATCTCTGAACCATTGCATGAAGGGCTTCATCCCATTAAGGATTTAAGGAGCACTCCCAGGGGCCCACAAGGGTCACACCAGGAGCTGCCCTCTGTCCTTTCCCATGCCCCACCCTTCCAGGGACATGTGGGTGTCCCCACTCATGGGGCTGAAGAAGCTGTCCTAGGGTCACGTTCTCAGCCTCAGGCGGGACTGCCAGTAGGGGTCATTCTACCTGGAGTTATCTGCCTGGTCGTCCATCCCTCCAGGCTTGGCCCCCTACCCCGGGGCTCCCCTGACCACAGCAGTCTCTTGGCGTTTTTCCTGCAGCAAAGGCTGTTTTGAGGCTCCAGTTCAGGGCACTCCCTCAGGTCAGGCCCCCAACCCATCTCCCAGGGATGCTGAGAG